GAGAGGGGGAGAGAGGGAGAGAGGGAGAGGGAGGGAGAGGGAGGGAGGGAGAGAGAGGGGGAGGGAGAGAGGGAGAGGAAGAGAGGGAGAGGGGGGAGGGAGGGAGATAGAGAGTGGGAGGGAGAGGGGGAGAGAGGGAGAGAGGGAGAGAGAGAAATGTTGGCTCTTGCCTTTTGGAAAGTCCTCAAAAGGACTTTCCGTGAGATGAAAGGCCAAGAGGCTGCCAGAGGAGCCGACAATCCTGGCTCCAGCCTGCCTTCAAACCAAGGAAGGCAGCCCGCTCAACCTCTCTGCCCTTCCTGCCCCCCCAAGGGGCACGCCACGCAGGACAGGTTCTGCCGCATTGCTATCTCGGTCCTTCGGGGCCAAAGAAAAAGAGAGAGAGAGAGAGGGCCTACCTTTCTGGAGATGGATGATGTCTGGGAAGTTGGAGAGAAGTCCCTGGTATAAGGAAAGGCTGTCCAGCATGAGGAACAGGTCATTCTTGGGTTGCTCTGCAAACATCTCCCCCACCATCTCGTAGGTCTTGCCCGTGTGGGAGATGGCGTTGTTGAGGGCGTCGAAGCTGTAGGGTGGGTCCATCTGGAAGGCTTGGCTGACCGCTTGGAACGCGTTGCCCAGTTTCTGGAACTCTTTACGGAAGCCGCCGACGTGCTTCCTAACCAGCTCGGAAGCTACGCTGGTCAGCTGCAGGACGCTGTCGTCCATCTTCTTGCTGAAGGCCTTGAAGGTGTCCACGCGGTCCTCCACATCCTGCAGGTCCTGGTGCTCGGTTGGGATCTGGAGGGTCAGGAGGAAGCTGGCCCCCACCATCTCGTCCTTCTCCGCCCGGCGCTTCCCCATCTTCCACTGCTTGTTATCGCCGCAGCTGAGGAAGTGCTGGAAGCCCTCGTACTGGGAGAGGGCCGGGTGGCTGGTCATATGGTCCATCCACAAGATCAGCCTCCGCTTGCGCTTCTCGATGAAGTCCTCCCCGAAGCGCCCCGTGGCCTGCTTCTCCGGCAGGTGGGGCACCGAGACGACGGTGAACTTGTGCAGCAGGCGGTTGTAGAGCCAGTCGAAGTGTTTGTAGCGCCGGTAGACCGGCGAATGGCCGTTGCTGGGCGTCAACCGGTAGGAGATGTAGCTCTTGATGCCTTTGAACTTGGTTTGCTTGGTGGGCTCTTCTACGGAGCAGAGGAAAGGGTGGGGGTTGGACCGCCACTGTGGGCCTTTGGAGCCCATGTCTATGTAGTAGGCCTCCGAGATCTTGCCCATCATGGGCACATCCCCCAAAACGAAGGCCTCCACGCCGGAGCGGACAAAGCTGGAGAAGCGGTTGAGGTTGCGGCTCACCACGCTTCCTCTCTTGGAAGACCCGATGCTGTCCTGCCTCTCCAGGGACGGCTTGGGACGGCCGCCGCCGTTGTTGGGGTGAGCGTAGGGCCTGGGGCAGGACAGGGTGGGTGACGGGTGCCCGTTGGTCCCTGCCCCGCTCCTGGGCTCCTCCACCACCGTGCTTTCGTCGTCCCAATCATCCCAGTCATCGTCGTCATCTTCAAAGCTGCCCTGGTGGGAAATGCCCGGGACGGACGAGGGGACGTAGAAGGAGGAGCCGTTTCCAGGAGACCCAGCGGGGCTGTTGGTATACGTAGAGGAGGACCTGGAGCGGAGGATCTCCACGTAAGAGGCGGGGAACAGGCCCGTCTCCCCGCGGGAGTTGGTGCCTTGCAGCCATCCGTCCAGGGACTTCTCATTGAAGAGCGTCAACTCTTCATTCTCGCGGATGCTGATTTCTTCCTTGTTCTCGCTCTGGAAATCGTAAAGCGCTCGGGCTCGGATTGCCATGGGGGTGTCCGGTGAGGCGGCTGGGTCTCTGCCCCCAGCCCCCCCACCTCCTGGGCGCTGTTGAAAAGGGGCCGTCCCCAGGAAGCTAGCAAGGCCCACAGCAGACTTGGCAACGGCTGGAGACAAAGAGCAGAAGAGGACAATCTCCGAAGGACAAAACCATCTGGTGTTTTTTTTATAGAAGGAGGTCTAAGACGGACAGTCGTCGCCTTCCCAATCAGCGGAGGGAGGTTAAGAATGGGGCAAAGCCAAGCGCATTCTCCTGGGGGTCGCAGATCTCAGGCGGGGGCCAGGAAAACCAGGAAAGGCTCATGACTATAGCCGTATCAAAGCAGCCCAGGGGTTATCCATCCTTCTCAGGTCTCTTTTTGGAAGACTGAAATTATAGGTCGGAATGAAGCATCTTGATCCGAAAGAGGTTTGGTCTGTGCTTTTTAAATCGGTTGGCTCTACAATTCAGAGAAGGCGTGGGTCTTATTTATTTTTTAACAATAAAAAGAAATAAAAGAGCAATTCAGAACTTCTCAGCCTTCCAATCCAACGGGAACCAGGAAGAAAAGTCTCCACTGTTATAAACCAGAAATGTTTTCTTTGCAAGGCTGAATCCGGGTCGGATGGGATTGGAAACCCACCAGACTCCCTGAAGGGTGGAGGAAAAATGTGAAAACACTACAAATCACTCCTCTCTGTCCAGAGGTCACGCCTCAGTCCACACACACACACACAACAAAGTCCACGTGAATCTGTTGCTGCTGCCTTTCCACAGGACACCCCCTTGTTGTTTTGTCCACGCCACAAAAAAAAAGGAAGAGAAAGGGAGGGGGGGAAAGAACAGGAAAAACAGCCCCCTAAATAGAAAGTTTCACCTCTTTGCAGGATCTGAAACTTTGGCACAAGGAAGAAGACTCTCCATTCCACCCCAAAGCAAGCAGAGAGTGCGCCCAGGAAGGGGTCCTCCTCCCAGCCCACCGGAGCGCTCTCTCCAAACCGATTCAGATCCACCAGCCAAGCGTAAAATCCCTTGCGGGGCTCCGAAGATGTCCCTTTTGTTGTTCGCTCGCTCTCTCCCTAGTCGATTTCCAGCGGTTCAGAAACCAGGACAGCGGTCAAAACAGATCGCCCACAGGGTAGATTTAGAAGAGGGGGGGAGAGAGAGGGAGAGAGAGGGGGGGGGAGAGAGAGAGAATCAGAAATAAAGAGGAAGAACGCGAGTCGCCTGCCCGGGAGCCTGAATTTCTGTGCGCCCGCTTGACTTCGCAGCAAAGCCCCGGGAAAGCCGATTGCGCGAGGAAGAGGAAAAGGAAGAGGGTGGAAGGCCAGGAGAAGAAGGAAGGACACCCATCCACCGCAGAGCTTGGAGAGGTCGGGAAGAAAGTTTGCAAGACTGGCGGGGAGACAGCGGAGCCCCCTTTTTGGAGAGGCGCGCGGGGCCGTCGGGTATCCTGGCAGGCGATCCAACCGGTTCCACCGCCGCCGCTTGGGAGAGAGACGAGCGACAGCCCCGGGGACAAGGGACAGGGCACTGGCCAAGTCCCTCCTCCGGTGGCGCCGGGCGGCCGAGGCACCTAGCGCGGTCCGCGGGGTCCCCTCGAGTGCAGCCAAACGGTCCTCGCGCAGAGGAGGCAAGCGAGCTCCTCCGCGGCCGCCTCGCTGGGGCTCAACGCCCGTCCGCCTCTGGGGCTGGCAAGGGGGGTCCTCAGCGGCAGCCGGGTCTCTCGGGAGTGGGGAGGGTGGCGCAGATGGCCTCGCGGGGTCCCCTCTCCTTCCGTAGGGTAGCGAGACCACAAGGCTCGGGTGCCTCCGCGCTGCTTGGGCGCAGCTCACCCGCCGGGCTGTTCCATGACGCACGGGCGCAGCTGCTGCAGCGGCGAACTTTTGCCAAAGGCGCCGGGCGCAAAGCGACCCGCGGACGCAGCAGGCGGGCGGGCCAACCAACCTGCGGCCGCCCTCTATTGGCAGACTACGCGGAGGGCGCCGCCTTGACGCTCCGGCTCAGCCCTGGCACGGATAGCCGGCCCCCTGAAAGCCTCCGCCGCCGGGATTGGGAAGGCGAGCGGCGCTTCCAGCCCTCGGTTGTCTCTCTCTCTCTCTCTCTCTCTCTCTCTCTCTCTCTCTCTCTCCTTCTCTCTCTTTCTTTCTCCCTCTTCCTCTCTTCCTCTCTCTCTTTTTCTCTCTCCCTCCCTCTCTCTCTTCCTCTCCCTCCTTCCCTCTCTCTTTCTCTCCCTCTTTTTCCCCCTTTCTCTCTTTCCTTCCTGCCATCCTTCCTTCTCACTATCCTACCTCCTTGTTTCCTTCCTTCCCTCCTTCCCTTCCCTGCCCTCCTTCTCACTATCCTCCCTCCTTGTTTCCTTCCTTCCCTCCTTCCCTTCCCTGCCCTCCTTCTCACTATCCTCCCTCCATTTTCCTTCCCTCCCTCTTTT